ACAAAACAAACAAGCAAACAAAAAACAAAGAAAAATGACTTGAGAACTACTCAACTATGCAGCTACTTATAAACAACTAATCCAGTAGAGGGGACCAAAAACCCCACAAAATAAACCATTCAGGGAACAGAATTGGGAGGATTTCTGCCTCTTACAAATGGGATTCTGATCAAGCCCAAATATGACAGCAGTTTCTAGAATGAAATGGCCATGTCTTCTTTTGTAATTATGTAGTGGCAACTAAAGAAATTTGTATAACTCATATGAGAATTAGTTTCCCTTTTAAATATAAATATAGTATTGCTCATGACATGTGAAAAAAAGAAAGCATGTATCTTTCTAAAATCTGTATTTTTTAAATATAAGATTAGTATATGCATATGGTAGTAGGGCATCTTCATAGGGCAAATACTCAGTATCTACTTCTCAAAGCAAGCAGCCCTCTACCCTCTTCTACATGGTTCTTTAGCATTATGAGACTGTTACCTCTGGTCGAAGTGTAGCTTTCATGCAGGCTGGGCAAAGAGGCCCAGTTCGGGAGAACTGAAGGGGAAGGTGACGAGTTCGATTGCCACAGGTTGGCTCCTCACATATCAACCAGCCCTGGAGAGAAGAAAGGGAAAACTTCAGACTTATCACCATCGACAAATATAAGTAACAAATCTTTTTTTGGTTATCAAGATAGACTCATTTTATTTCATCTTTTCTCAGAAATTCTGACATAACTCTAGTTATCTCTCTCTCCTGACATGTTAATTAGCTAAATCTATGCCCCAAACTTAGAAGTTAGGAAACCCATTCAGTTTAAAAAAAAAAAAAAAAAATCACGTGAGATGTTATTTCTTTTTCTTAAGAGAAACACCCTTCCTCACTCAAATACATCAAAACTTGCCAACAAAAACTTCTACTACAGGCAGAATGTAAACCAATGTGTTTTAGTTCATTAGGAAAGACCATTACCAAAGTAAAGAATGCACCACATACATGTATAACCTTTCCAATAGCTGAGTGACTACTGGCTAGTTACTTAATTGCTGTGCTATTTCCTTCTCTGTAAAATGGATACCACAGTACTTACTGTATAGGGTTGTTGCAATGATGGAACACATTTACAGTGTCTAGGACTATATTTGATATAAAAGAAACACTTAATAAATATAATCAATTATTTCATGTAAACAAAAATAGATTCTCTTATATGTGCTTTCTGGAGACATAAAACTAGCTGCAATGTTTTCAAGGACAACTTCAACTTATCACTATTTTCCAGAGGTTTGAAATACTACAGCTATTGCTCACTTCTCTGTCTTTTAGAACCCTCTTCTCACCTTCCTTCTTCAGTTACTCTCCCTTGCTGATCTTGTTTGAATTTTCTCATAGTGATGTGATAAGAATATGCCTAAGACCTTAAATCAGCATTATGTTTGTTATAAAAACATTATCTGTTAAACAAAGGAGACAAGACTTCCAAGTGGGGTCAAAGTTCAGCTGTTTATACTAAGGAACCAAGGTCTGTGGGCTTTCGTGCTACATGTATTGCCACAGAGGCGTAAGTATAAGGCAAATGTTAGGGTGAGGTGCTGGGTATAAAGGTGAACAAGGTATGCTGCTGCTCCCCTGTCTCATGGTGTTCTCATCTGCGGAGCCCCCAGTAGGGACCTGACTATCTGTAGGTCTTGGAGCATTTTGAGACATGGCAACTTCTGAACTGGTCTTGAAAAATGAGTGGAAGTTTAGTAGGTAGAGAAGGCAGAAAAGACAACTTACACAGAAAGAACAATGTATGTCAAAGAATGAAGGCCAGAAAGAGCTATGCTGTGTTATCATTAATAAAGGAATCAATAACATGCATTACCCCGTATTCTATTTCTAGACTGAACAACTTGTTGGTCTTTTCCCCTTAGATAAGAGCAGTATATACATGAGTGTTGATTCATTATGTCAGGTACTTTAGTCTGCCACTTAGTAATGTTTCCATGTGGTGTTAATCCAAAGCTGAGGGATGCCCTCACTTGCTGCTGTGCTGTTTGACCTCATTCCTCAGAATAGGCTTTTCTTGGAAGTAGCTATAACAAAACTCAGGGGAAAGCACCAAGAATCAGTTCTTCTGGCTCCATTTAAAACTATCACAAAAAGGCAAAGTGTATAGATCTTTATGACTAAAAAAATTATGCTACCTTTAACGAATGTAAAATTCATCTAGTCAATACACCCACAGTAAGCATTATTCCTACCTTCATTCAAGGCTAAACTATTTTAAAATTTAATATGAGCTTTTCAGGTAGAGGGAGGGTCTCAATGAGTCCTTAATGAAACTTGTAATATATGCCCAGAATTACATTAAATATTGTGAAGAACAGGCAAAAGGGCCCCAGGTACAGTTTCAGGAAATTACAATCTAAATAGGAAAGCAAGGTCCATACACAGAGACTATAAAAGCAATTCAGTATGGCTTGGCTTTAAGAATCAAGTTGTGTGGTACCAACTACAAATGCTAACAATACAGAGAAGGGATAGGTTACTGTCTGAGATAAACTACTACTACCACAGCAAAAGATCATGAACCAGATAATCAGTGGTTCGGAGTCACAGGCAGCTGTTTGTTTTAATTTTGAGGGTGTATTACAACATCTTCTTGATTTAAAGAGACATTTATATTCACATTTTAATATTTCTGAAACTCAGATGCATTTATAATGGACACGTACAGCTTAATAATGTACTTTAGTTTACTCCAAAAAAGCTGTTAAGTCAAGAGTGCAGCTCACAATCAGCTCCTTAGAATTAAAGAAACAAGATACTGGCCGGGCACCGTGGCTCACGCCTGTAATCCCAGCACTTTGGGAGGCCAAGGCGGGCAGATCACAAGGTCAGGAGATCGAGACCATCCTGGCTAACACGGTGAAACCCCGTCTCTACTAAAAATACAAAAAATTAGCCAAGTGTGGTGGCACACGCCTGTAGTTCCAGCTACTCGGGAGGCTGATTGCTTGAACCTGGGAGATGTAGGTTGCAGTGAGCCAAGATTGCACCACTGCACTCCTGCCTGGGCGACACAGCAAGACTCTGTCTAAAAAAAAAAAAAAAAAGAGAGAGAGAAACAAGATACTTCAGTTTAGTCTGTTCTAGGCATGGGAAATATAGCGGGGAAAAGTGGAGCTGACAGTAAGAACAGGTATTAAATTTTAAATGCAGCCTATAAACATTAAAGGTAAGACTAGTTGTTTCTTGAAGTACCCATTTAGGTATATTAATAAAGGAAACAAACTATACAGGACTGGACCACTCCTTTATCATTCATTGGGTCTGTTACTTTAAATTTGATAACTGAGGCTTTATATGCTTTGGAATATGCAGTTAGTTAATGTTGCCAACCATAGTTGTAATTCATCCAATTCTAAACAAAACTAAAAAAATAAGCAGACAGGTAACAATTATCATGTTTTGAGACAAGAAATTATTCAATTCCAAAATATAATCTGGATATTAAAATTATTTAATTTTTAAAATATAATGTTCAGAAACTATAGAGTTCTTTTCAGATGTTTTTGAAATTTGATTCTGTCAATTTACTATGACTTCACAACTCACTGGGGTAGCTGCCAACCACGGACATGCTAAGTTATCATCTCACCTGTTTTTAAAGCAAACACCTAACCCTATCTCTGACAGAGGTACTAACTAAATGTCCTTTCAAATCATATAGAAAACAGATAATATAATTTGTCTAGACTTCCTACCAGTTATAATTAACATTAAAGAGGTCTTTTTTCCTTTGTCACCTCTCTATTCATCGCTTATTTGGGTTTGTTTGTACTTACTATCTGTTAATCTCCCTTTACAAATGACAACAATAACTAGTGCTATTATGCATGGAAATTAAACATGCTGATAACTGTGTGAAGGGAACTGGGGCTGAAAAAAATATTAGAAGCCTGTAACTCTTTATGCTTCTTGTTTTATTTTGATAATTAAGCTTTTGGTCATGGTGTATTTTAAACAAAACTCTTCTATGTAGGAAATAGGCCCTAATCATATTAAATACATGCTTTGCTTCAATTCAATTTTGTAAAGTACATTTTATTTAACCCTTTGTTCACCCAACAAATGCCAACCAGCTAGCTAAATCTAACCTTCAAGGAACATTTGTGCTGTTAAAAAATAAATATAGGCTGGGCATGGTGACTTATGTCTGTAATCCCAGCACTTTGGGAGGCTGAGGCAGGTGGATTGCTTGAGCTCAGGAGTTCAAGACCAGCATTGACAACATGGCAAAACCCTGTCTCTACCAAAAATACAAAAATTAACTGGGAGTGGTGGCACGCACCTACGGTCACAGCTACTCGGGAGGCTGAGGTGGGAAGATGGCTGAAGCCCAGGAAGTTAAGGTTGCAGTGAGCAGTAATTATGTCATAGCACTCCAGCCAGGGTGACAGAGTGAGATCCTGTCTCAAAAAAAATTTTTGTTCTAAATAAAAATAAATAACTATAACAGGTTTTTGAAAATATTCCATTGATGCAAATCTTATAAGATCTCACACTGAATTTTGTCTCTTAAGAGTGACAAAAACAAAGCAAGTGAAAATAATAATATTGTGTAAGTTCACTTTGATTTATCACTCACAAAGACAAAACTTAACTTACTTTCATTTCTCACTTTCAGAAATAACATACAGCCTGTACAGCCCAAGGCTACATTGACAAGTCAATGGAAGAGGATATTTTTAATAAAAGTATAGTTCCTTGGAACTACTAGTTATTTGGAACTACCCAACCTATAAAAAGATTTGGATTTTAATAAAAACCTCTAGAATCACTTTAAGGATGTCTGCTATCCAAATATGCCATTTTATTATGTAATGCCACTTACAAATTATCATAACCAATAGCAATAAGGTCAATAAATTTTCAGTTGCCTGCCTTAGCCACATTTATATATAGAAAATTCAAAAGAGGTGAAGTCAGCCTGTCCAATAGCAAAACAAACCTTTACCAAAATACGCCAAGCTCTATCACTTGTTGCTTTAATCTCAGCATCACTAATTCCTTAAAATCATTGTGTATGAAATTGTGCCAAATGCTGATTGGTTCTGATGACTAAATTATATTTCTGAGGCCTCAACTAAAATGGCTTCTGTCTGTACATGTTAAAAAGGGATCAATTTCCACTTGTAACTGAGGCATTCCTAGTAGTTGCACCTTAAACACAAACTGTTATTCATTTGTGTACATTTGTATTTTTAGAAGGCTACACACACAGAAATCATCTAGATCTGAAATTGTGGAGCATAGGAGGCCCTCAAAAATATCTTTCGAAGAAACTATCAACAGAGTAAACAGACAACTCACAGAATGGGAGAAAAGATTTGGAAACTATCTATCTGACAAAGGTCTAATATCCAGAATCTATAAGGAACTTAAACAACTCAACACGTGAAAACCAAATAACCCCATTAAAAAGTGAGTAAAGGACATGAACAGATACTTCTCAAAAGACATATAAGCAGCCAACAAGCATACGAAAAAATGCTTAACATCACTAATCATCAGAGAGATGCAAATCAAAACCACAATAGGATACCATCTCACACTAGTCAGAATGG